ATCCTAGATGCACGCCACCTGCTAGATCATGCGCCAAATCATACGCCACATCACTTCGGTGGCATGCAATATTGTTATCAGAACTAAACATGACTTCAACGTAACTGTCTTTTTAATAATAAAGTTCACTTTCTCGCACTTAACCACTTCCTATGCTGTAGTTGATTCTGGATCGTTTACAAGAAGGGTATCAAAGTGAGGGTTGTAGTTCTTCAAACAGCAATATTCGTATAATATGAATCAATTTTCCTTAAGGTAAGTCAAAAAGCTACTGCCAAACTGAAGCTGATGGGGGTTGGAGACGTAACGGTATACTGGTTATAAGTCTTATTTAATAAAACATAAACTGTTAAGAGTTGAAGGTTCAGTGCAGGCTCCGGGGCTCCATGAAGTCTGGCATGCACAAAGTCTCCTTTATGCGGACGATTTAAAAATTTATCCAAAAATTTCCTCGGTAGAAGATGTATTCAAAATTCAGAGAGACTTATCTAGCATCTTCCTTTGGTCAACTGAGAATGAATATCACTTGAAAATTGCCAAGTGTAGCTCTACGGCATTCTTTAAAAACCGCAATCCTATACTTTCTCAGCATTGCATAAATACCGTCGATTTGGAGCGTTTGTCCCAGATCAGAGACTCGGGGGTCGTTTTCGATAGAGTTCTCACTTTCTATAGTCATATCGAGATCGTACTATATCTAAAGCCTTCGATCTCTAGGTCTCATTATGCGGTCTACCCAGAAAATTTTTTTGTTATTTGGATAATCCTACATCTACATATTGTATAAATGCATGGTCCTGTCCTTTTTAATGTACCCCTCGCCAGTTTGGCGTAATGCAGTTCTCAATGAAAATTTTATTCATAAATTTTTAAGATTCGCTGCCTTTCAACCATAAATATGACTGGATCTCTTACGCACTGAATGTTTCCACTGTCCAATCCGATCATACTTTCAATGACGTTTAACATAATGCATGATTTGGTTCCCTGTCCAGAGTTGAAAGAAATGTACATTTATTACACGCGTATGTGCGCTATAATTTAAGATCACCTAGACAGTTCCTTGAAGAAAATGCTACATCAAATTTCGGTTCTAATTGCCCTTTTAACAGACTAATCAGGCTGCGGAACATATTTAGATGGAGAATTGTGGATGGTAAACGACTCCAGACTTTTTAAATGCAAACTGAAAAATTTGAGAAAGTGACTCCAAAATAACGTTAACGAATTATAATGCTCCTAATTTACACCGACACTTGCACTCGAAATTTACTAACTTGTATTTTCCTTCCGTAAGCCCCCTTTTTTTTGTAATAATATAGAAAGGGCTATACATATAATCCGTTGATTGGATAAATAAAAAAAAAATAATGGCTAAATGGAGCTTGTAACAATTTTGTTCCTCGACTTCATCAGTCTTGAAAGCAACAACGTTTCCAATTTATTTATTTTTATACAACCAAAATTGCATACATATGTATACATATTTGCAATTTTAAAATTTGAGACAAGCACAACTTTCATTACTTAATGTAATTAATTTACTTTTAGTTTAGTTATATATTTTATCTAATCCTTATCATCTATTAGTGTACATGTGTCAAATAATAATCACAAAAGAACCGCTATCCTGATAAATTGTTTTAGAACTTTATACGAAAACAAACATTTATAGATTTTTACCTCCAACGGCTACCGAAATAATCTTACCACTGACGTAGTCAAAATTTTTAATTATAGGAATCGCTCGCAAATTTTTTATGAACATAGTGTATGATTACTTTACAATACAAACAACTCCTATTCATTGGGTAATTGTTATAATCATAAAACTGTAGTAACGTTATTGCGATTATGTACGTGTGGACCAATTATGCAATAACATACGGTACGTATTGTTTTGCATATTGCCTAATGTTAAAACGGACAAATATGCGAATCTTATGTTGTGCAGCCACACAAGTAGTTATGACTACCTTGCATATATGTTTTGTTTATTGTACTGTAAAGGAAAGAGGGCTTATTTTGCTAACATATGAGATCTGTTCAAAAAAATTCGCGAATTTTGAATTTCCGCGGGTTACGTATATTCGATTTTCAATTTTTTTTGTGGCTTTATTTCGTACTCATGTCTCTGAATTATGCCGACAAGTTCGATCATGTTGAATGTTCAATTAATTTATGACAGCTGCTTTGCTTCTACGTGTTTTGGCTCGCTCTCGATTTTTACGTATTCCAAAAAATGGATCAAAGAATCTGTATCAAATTTTGTGTGCAAAACAAAATTAAGTGCGCGGACGCATTCCGTATGCTGACTATGGCATACGGTGAAGCTACCTTGAACCGAAGCAACGTTTATCGGCGGTACAAAATGTTCTCAGAGGGCCGAGATGTGAACGGCGAAGAGCGTGCCTGACGCCCGAGCACGTCAACAACAGACCAAAACATTGATGAAGTGAAGAAAATAGTATTGGCCAACAGTCGAATAAACGTTAGAGAAGCTGCTGAGGACCTAAACATATCAATTGGTTCCTGCCATTCGATTTTTACCAATGATTTAGGTATGAGACGGGTCACCGCAAAATTTTTACCAAAATTTCTCAATTTCGACCAAAAACAGCATCACATTAGCATTGCTAAGGAGCTCTTGGACTGTGTCCGCGACGACCCGAATTTATTCCTGAGGGCCATAACTGGTAACGAATCATGGGTTTATGGTTATGACGCGGAAACCAAAGCTCAATCATCCCAATGGAAGCTGCCGCACGAGCCAAGACCGAAAAGAGCGCGCCAAGTTATGTCGAATGTGAAGGTTTTGGTTACAGTTTTCTTAGATTGCAGGGACGTGATGTATCATGAGTTCTTGCTAGAAGGTAGAACGGTCAATAAGGAATATTACCTGCAAGTTATGCGCAATTTGCGAGAAGCAATCCGTCAGAAACGCCCGGATTTGTGGAAGAACAAAAATTCGCGTTTGCATTATGATTAACGTCCTTGCTCAAACACCGTTGCTTGTGGGCGAATTTTTTGCCAAAAGCAACACTCTAATAATGTCTCAATCAAAGTATTCCCTGGATCTGGCCCCCTGTGATTTTTTCTTGTTCCCGAAACTGAAGAGGCCAATGAAAGGTGGACGCTACGCTACGATTGAGGAGATAAAGACGGCATCGAAGGAAGAGTTGAACAAGATCACAAAAAATGATTTTTGGAAGTGCTTCAAGGATTGGAGAAAACGTTGGCACAAGTGTATCATATCTGGTGGGCATTACATTGAAGGAGACAAAATAGATATTCATTAATAAATAAGTAATTTTTGAAAAAACACAAAACTCGCAATATTTTTGAACAGACTTCGTACATATCTATGAAAGAAAACAAAATATAAAGCTAGAGACGAGTCGGGTACCCGGTTTCGAACTTGCTGGAAACGGCAATTTTTTAGGATGGCACTAGATATCCGACAAAGCCGCGTAATTTTCTGATATTTAGTGTTTATAAACATTACAGGCTGAAAATCCTCTAGCCAAGAATTAAAATTTCGTTGGTTTATTGTTCAAACGACGTTTTGAGTGGGATATAACGAATGATGTAGAACCTTGGTAAATGTATACCCGGTTATTCGGTATATTAATCAAAGAAACGAGTAAGTATTTACACCATAGCCCAATTAAAGTAGTGACGACAATTTTTTTTAATTGGTGCAGGTTACTTTGGCTCAGGTATGCCGCACACATAACAAGGTCATTTATCCGGGTGCTTCGTGGTCCTGCTTCAAAGGAATATTTGTGCATTTCAACACCGACAATTTCTGTAGCTTTCTTTACATATTTTAGAAACGTTAAGTACTTCTTGCACATATCAAATAACTTCTAACCCATATAAAAACTTATATTGCCTTTTCTGCCGCATATAAAACATCATACGGCCTGGAGCGGACATATCCTAACACTTTCTTTGACGTCTTTTCAGGACGGCGGTGGACGTGAAGAGCACCGTGTAACACAACCTTTAGATTGAATAAAATAATTCGAAGTGTTCTGTATTCTGTCGAAACTGCCAGACGCGGGTCGCGATTTCGATCTTTTTGGATCTCATCAACGCGTCGCAGGCAGCTCCGACAGAACGCAGACCAACTTTTACCTGCTGTCTTAACAGTGCGTTTTAGAAAATACTACAAAAGGCGCGGTGAACGCCATCTGTAGCGATGCTACATTTTATGTAGTACGATGCATCGCACTACAGATGGCGTTTACCGCGCCATTTGTGGTATTTTCTAAAACGCACTGTTAAGACATCAGTGAGATCCAAAAAGATCGAAATTGCGATCCGCGTCTGGCAGTTTCGACAGAATACAGACCACTTCCAATTATTTTATTCGATTATGGTAACGTGCCTTTCACGTTGAGGTCAGCTACGCTGGGATTCGTTTCAACAAGTAGATATCCATATATTTAAATGGACCTTGTTAGAGCATACGTAATCCTAAAATGTAGCATCGTACTACAGATGGCGTTTACCGCGCCATTCGTGGTATTTTCTACAACCTTTAGATTGGTTCGTACATACATATCATGCCACTTTATTGAAATTATTTTCAATTGCAACATGAAAGAGAATGCAATAAACTAATTATCAAGAACAACGAATTACTAATTTTTAACCACAAGTTTGTGTTATAAAGGAAAATAAACTTTTCATACTGAATTCTACTTTAATACACATAGAAGACTATGATAAATAGAATATGTATATAGAATTGTTCGTGACAGCCGAAACAAAATATAAAATATGATGTACATACAGAACCTGTACCGAAAATAGAAATTATACATTTCCTTGTCGGCATTTTTCCTTTTTTATGTTCCAGGAATAAAGCAATATTACATTAGATGAACGTGTGGAATATATTTTTTCTCCACGTCTATATAAAGATAAATCCTTCTTTTGAATTTTATACCACATGTAAACGTAATAAAAAAAGAAATTTAGCACAAACAAACCTGTAAATGTCGTCTCCTTTGTTCGTCGTTGTCCATATCCAAAAGTTCGTCTATATCGACTTCTACCTCTTCACTGTTGCAGTCTTCTATTTTGGGCTAAAACAAAAAAAATTATTGATAAGCATGCAAAACTCGGATATATCTGTGAATTAGGTATGTTCAAAATAATGCCCAAAATATTTATGTTATTGTTGCTCGAAGCCCAAATATTGGTAAATTTTATTAGGTTTGGTTATAAATTTTAGAACTTATCTGAAACGAATTTCAGTACTTTTAATTTTAAAACATTTTTACCCGACTAAAATTTATAGGGGACATGCCCATTGTAGCGTGCGGGCCTTATGTGGCTAATAAGGAGCATGCCGATCTAGGGATTGCCCCGTAGATTCCTCATGAAAATCCCACCAAAAAAGTGGTAATACTAAAATTAGGATTGCCTTATGGTTTTTTTCTATGGGTCTTAAAGGACAAACCTATCACATGTATAAACTTAAATTATATCTACCTTATGAGGGCTCGATAAGGCAAATCCGTTTGAAAATACTCTCGGTAGAATGAAAAAAACGTAAATTTTAAACCCTTGCCCAATTCGTTTCAATGAAATCTTTTACATATGCAACGAACCAACAAGTGTGTTCCTGATGTTGTTATTTAAGACAACTGAAAGCAGACGTATCAGTTCGAACAACAGTAAAACGGTTGCAATTTGAAATATTATTGACTACAAAACAAACTTACTTAAGAGCAAACAAATTTTCAAATAAGTGATATATGTATATATTGTTTGTTTTTTCAATAATAATAAAGTTCATTTCACAAATTTTTAATGAAGTAGCAAGAATTTTTCCCTGAGGGGGCCACATGCGGCATTCGTGGTAATGGGCAAATTCGATAAAGCGTTATTTGCCCCTTCCTTGTACCAGGGGCAACCCCATGGGGCCCACAAAAAGTTAATGTGGCTACCCACTTAGGAACCCTACCTGCACCCCCTCAAATTTCTAATCGAGTAAAATGCTTTTTGAAAAGTAAAATACAGTGAATTTACAAAATTACAATTTTCTTCTCGCATAGTTTACTACCTGCGTTGGCTAAACTAATCATTTAATAACATTCACGCACTGAGGGTTCCGTACAAACTTGTGGGTATGTATGTAGTGCGTTCGTCTACAGAATCGTGTTTTGAAAAATTTTCCCGCTTTTTCCCAGTTTGTTTTATATTTCCCCAGAATCAGTCCCAAAAACATACAGTTACAATCTTACAATTAAAAAAAATTTTTTTGTGATGTAACTTTAAATTTACAGTTTTCGGTTTTTCTTTTTTACTTGTGCTAAAAGACATTGCGTCTTGTTACATTTCATGATTCTAGGTCAACGGGATGTATTCTATAGGTTTTGATTTTGAGTGTCAAAATATACGACATAAACAGGCGTATCTTTTGATTGCGTTGACTTAGAAGTTTGGCTTTTTCACAGCTCCGAAGGATTGCAGACCTAAGTATTTAATATTCATTTCAAATTGATAGCTCCACGAGTTCATGAGAGAAAGGCTCCATATTAGTCTTACCAGAAGTCCGGGAAAAATAATCTATTATCCTACCGACCGAATTCGTAACCCTCGAATTGTCCCGGACAACGAATTTTTTTTACGGATTACAACAAATATAGCGAAGACAAATCAACAACTTAAAAATCTTATCAAATACTTAAACAATTTTATTTTTATTAATAATTAGCCGTCATTCGCGGCGTTGCTCGAGTCGTTCGATCTCAAAAAAAAAAAAAGAATTGTATCGGCCGAGAACAGAATCTAGATCTTTACAGTTACCTATAGTGGGACAAAGTACCCAAAATTTGACCAAAATTAAAAAAGCTTCTTTTGGGACCCATCAAATGGGAGGAGCCTAAAAACATGGCGCCGATTAGGGAAAATTTATCGTAGTTCCTATAATGTACCGTGCAATTTCCAAGTGTAAAAGTAAAATGATAAGTATTGACACAATATGTGATTGGGCTGACACAAAGCCTCGGAAAGGAAACTTCGTTGAAGGTGAGCGTGTTTTTAATGCCAATCACATTATAAAATTCGGAAATAACAAATCCGGAAGCCAGCCTTCAAATTCCGTCAAGTTTACTGCCTACATTTTACAAACTTCGGATTTAAAAAGTGATTCACGTTATATAATTGGTGAGGTGATTCTGGGTGATTTAAGCAATATCATATCAATGACTTGCACGTGCAAAGCCGATTTAAGAGAACGTTGCAAACACATTATTGCAACTTTGTTATATTACACCAGGTAGGTTCTTAACCTCAAAATACTTATATCGTATCATTAGAATTGTATTAAATCAATTACACAGGAATAAATAATTTCTCACTTTATAATTTTAGTATGATTCTAGTTTTAAATATTAAGGTTATGGCTGATGGTAAATACTTGCTGAAATATAATCATGTGCATTAAAATGACGTGAACAAATTTTTATTCCGGAATTCACTTCTTTGATACCTACTGCTTTCATCCAAGTTTCTATTAGTTTACTTTTTTTCTCTAATTTTCCGAATATATTTTTTACATATATAAAACGGTTAGTTTATATTTTAGTAGTTAATGTAGGTGAAGAGTGAAGATCTATGTCTGAAGTGCTATTGCAGCTTTTCACTGAACATATTAACTTTTTATTTGATTTAACTTTAGAAGAAAACTTCGTCGACTCCATCATCAAAAAAATTTTTACTTTTTTTACGTGTTTTCTTATTTTAATAAACAATTTTACAATTTGCGTGCACAGTTCCTATGTAAATTTTTCCCTCATTCGAGTTATAAATTTTGCCACCAGATGGTGTATGCCCATTTGACGGATCCCAATAGTACCTAGATACTGATTTTTGCCTTTGAATTTGCACGAGAATAATTCCAATGGCAATAAATCAACCATAGAAGGTTTGATTTCCTTTACCAACTATAAAATATTTCATCAATTTCACTTGATTATATTATAGTAGGATAAAATGGAATCAAACAGGGAAGTTATGCATGTAGACATATAGAGCGGAAAAGAATTGTAATATTCTATTTATGTAATTAAGCTAGTATATAATATTTAGAAAGCGGCAACTGTAGATATGATTTATTTACCAAAATTGAAAGAATTTCCTACTTCAACCTGTTTGTTTCAACAAATTTTTAAAGTTACGCAAAATACAATTTTGAAACTTTGTGAATTTTTAACTCAGACTGTGGGGTTTACGGAAAAATTACAAATAACATTTTAATCTTATTTTGACCTCAAAATATGAAAGAATATCTGTTTCAAAATTCTAAATTATTGAAAATTATTCGTATAATAGGTCAACTATTTTGAAAATTGTAATTCTGATAACAAATTTGTTATCAACCACCTCAAAAATCTCCTAATACTAATTTTCAGAGTATTACCATTGAGCTATCGGTATTTTTTTGTATGAATCTCCATTTTTTCCATGTGTGGAGGTACAAAAAGTGTTCGATTTTCATGCTGACATTTTTTATAATAAAATCTAATACAATAATAGTAATCAACGTATTAACTCTGTTTTATTATTATACCGTCATCATTATCATCACCATTACTCCTATTATTATTTTTATAAATATTATTAGAATTAAAACGAGATAATATTTCATCAACATTTATTCTTTTAATAAAAGATTTTAAGAAGGTAGAAAAACAAGGCAATAGGTTGGCAGAAACAAATATCGTAAACCCACTACATAATTACCATTTGAAAATATTTTTTTATCCCATAAACACGGATTATTGTAGATATGTTTAATAGAAATTTGAATTACGATATCGTACATCGTATTTTCGTATTTGAAACAAAATTATCGTATGTCCCCATAATTATCGTACAGGCTGGCAACGCTGGCATCAACTCATTATGGCAATCACGACAAACGAAGATAGAAAGAAATATCATTTTTAATAGTAGAATAAAGATTCGGGCTATAGGGCCGTGGTCTAAGTGAACTATTCTGTCCAGTCGCTGTCGAGACTTCGAAATATAATCTACGTTCACGTTGTCAACTCATCACTACCACTGAGGATGTCAGCCGCAGTAGCCGACGAAACGTCTGGACAGAATAGTTCACTCAGACCACGGTCTTGTAGCCCGAATCTTCATTCTACTATGGATTCCGGCCGTGAAAGCCTTTGTTCTTATACCATCTTTAATCTTTTTTAAACATTAAAATGTGAAATTAATCTAATTTCTTTCCACTACGGATTACAAAAACTTTCCTTAACTTGAGGTAATCTGTAGCGCGAAGAAATTAATTAATTCCACATTAACGTTTAAAAATTATTAAATATTAATAACCGCTGTTAAGAAATTTTTATATAAATTATTTATAGATTTGGTTTGTAAAATTCACTGTAATTTACGAACGGTGCCTTTTATATGTTGTTTACTATACGAATATTTTCGAAAATTTAGTGAGCGGAACACCGTTGTTGTTCATGCAAACGAACTAAAATTTAAACAGAGAACAATTCTGTTTTGTTCATTTATCCAGCGCCAGTGGTTAATTACCCTGAACAAGGTATAAAATTAAATTCATGTCCCCAGAGCAAAACTTTCTCGCTCGCTTCTACGCACAGAATTCCTTTATAACTCCCGTATCCCTACCGAAATAATTGCGATTCCAAAAATACATTCAAACAGAAATCTGTTTCGGTTACGCATACACAATATACGACACAATTTATAATGAATAAATACGTTGAAATAACTAATTTTATCAACAGTTACTACAATGCAAAACCACTATCAAGAAATGTTTTGAAATTAAAAAAAATGATCCAGAGTTATTCTAATTTTGAAACGTAATAATTAATATAGTGGCATTTTAAAAAATAACCATGTCATTGCGCGATTAGATATGTGAAAATTGCCGTGATACTAACTAACTCAACATTGAAACGTTTTTAAAAATCACATCGTAACCACGTAAAGCTGCTGTGGTAAAGCCTGTTCAAAATTTGTTGATGTAAAATTCCCAGTAACGAGCCAGATCATTTTTTGGATGACGCCCTCGCACATTTATCATCAT